GCGCCCACCCGACTCCCACCTCGCCCTCTCCCACCGCCCTCTGAGCCAGTCTCCATGACGCGCGCGCGTGCTCTCCCGCAGCCGCTCGGTCGACGCGACACACTGCCCCTCGTGGGAGCTCGTCCTGATCTGGCTCTCCAAGCTGCCGCTCCTCGCGACGGCGATGCGCGCTGAGCCAGCGCTGCCCCGGTGGGCGTGGGTCGACGTCGGTCTGACACCCACCGGCCGGCCAGCGGCCAGAGAGCTCCCGCTGACGCCTCCAGCCCCGATCGCCGGCCAGGCTTCAACGTCTACCGCGTGCTGCGCAGGAGGCCGCCGCCCGCGCCATGGACTCGCTTCTGGCCACGCGGCGGGGGCGTCGCCGTCGCCCGCAACCAGGGCGGCTGCCACAACGAGTTGCGGCGCACCAACTTTAGCGCCTGCATCATCGGCACCTTTTTCTACGGCGAGAGCGCCGCCCTCCTACGCCTGGCGCAGCTGTTCTTTGCGCGCGCGCGCCGCTACGTCTTGCGGATGGCCTCGCCCGGCTACGCCGGCCCCAAGCTGCTGTGCGCCGACCAGGACGTGCTCGAGGAGGCGGTGGCGCACGAGCCGTCCTTGGTCGAGGAGTTCCAGGTCTCGCAGCGCGAGTTCTTCGGCTGGGGCTGGGCGCCGCCCGACAAGCAAAGCGACAACGAGACGCGACCTAGTCGGAGAGGGGAGTGTGCAGCGCAGGATCATGCTCCTGGAAAAGTGATGTGCCAGCAAAGCCATTTGCTTCTCCGCGCCCGTCGCCACGCCAAGCTGTCAAAGACATAAATAAATAAATAAAACGGGCAAACTCTGAGACGAGATGGGATTTAAAGAAAGAAAGAAAACAGACAACCCAAGGGAGATGGGGGAGGAGGACGGCACGCCGCCACCACACAGGGATTTTAAGGAGAGGTGTGTGGTGCGCTAGCCGTCGCCCACCCTAGGGAGTCTGCCTCTTCCTATCTCTCTTCGCAGTCTCTCGCCGATTCTCGCTGCAACCTTCATTGATTGATTGACTGATGGGAAGGCGAAACACAGTCCGACCAACGACTGGGACACCAACATGCCACCTCGCGGCCGTCCCACTCTCGTCGGTCTCTCCCTTGTCACTTCCTCCTCTGTCGCGTCGTTCTCTTCTGCCTCGTCCTGCGACGCCGCCGCCTGCCGGTCCCTTGTTCTCGCGGCTTCTTTCGCCTTGCGCAACTCCGTCCTCCTCCGCGGCGTATCCTGGCCCCTCGAGTCTATCAAGCTCCCCTCGCGCAAGGACCACATTTCTGACTCCCACTCCGATCATTTGCCTACACGTCATGTTGTTGCTCAGGTCCACTCTCTCTCTCTTCGAACACTCGTGCCTCTACGGATGATGCCGGCGCTGGGGTCCCCTTCGGATGCATCGTGACATCTGACAACTGAATTTCCACTGGTTCGTCCTCCTCTGAGCTCTGAGTCATCTTCCCCGTCCTCCTTCCGCTCGGC